GATCCATTGAAGGATTATGGGCAACAACTGACTAGTGGAAATTTATAGAACTAAAAAGCTTCTGTACAACAAAGAAAACAATCAAGTGAAGAGGAAACTCACAGACTGGGAGAGAATTGTTATCAGCTATTCATCCAATAGAAGATTAATATCCAGAATATACACAGAACTCAAAACAGAACAACCCCCCCCCAAGAAGACAAATGACACAGTTGAAAATTGTTGGGAAGGAGCTAGATAGATGGCTTGATTGTTTAGAAGACTGACTTCTTTCTCAGAGGACCCAGGTTCAACTCCGAGTACCCACATAGTGACTCACAACTATCTGTGACATATGCATTTGGGGTACAGACATATATGTAAATAGATAAGCATAGCACAGTTTTATTAGGGTTCCTGGTATGTATGGCTTTGAACCAAATGTCCACTGGTCTTAGGATCCCATCTAGACTTGGTCTTGCTCATCTAGGATACTGTGTACCTGGGAAGGGAAGCATGTGCATTCATCTCCATCACGTTCTTCAACTCCCTGTTAATTCAAGGTACCCTGTGTTCTGATTCTCTTCTAGATTCCAGAAAATCATAGTAATATACCATCTTTCAGACCAAAGTTCTGCTCTCCATGGACATGAAAAGGGCACAGTTCCCTGATCTTTCTAAGCCTCAGCAACACCAGAAAGCTAGAGTATGTCAAGCTTTCTGGGATTTTAAGTGGCATCTCAACAATTTATAACTCATTTCTGATACTGTGTGATGTTGCAGAGGAAGTCAAAAGTCAGGGCAGAGTTATGAACTTAGTCTAAGCGTCACAATTAGGTTCACATAAATGCCATTTGAGTTTCTCACAGTGGCTTGATGTGTACAGCTGATACCCAGTATCCAGTAGCAATAGGGTACAAATATTTACTTCCTCTCTACCTTTCATTCCTGGATCCAAAAGGCAGCATGAAACAGGGCATGGTCTATTGTCTGCAGCAGGAACCTCTCAGTCTCAGGAGACATCTGAAGAGAAACCACTTGTGCCATGCTCGTGATTCTTGGCTGGAACTGGTTACCAAGTCCATCTTCTTCCCAGACCTTCTTGCTAAGCCCACTCAGGGTCAACATCCAGTAGAACTAGAAGGTAAAACTAGGTACTCAGTATTCATAAACACATAAGTAAATGTGTGTGAATGTCATATTCCAGTATCAAATAACCAGTGAGTTTCGAACTGTTAGCAGAAAGATCTGAATTAGTATGTGGGCCTGAAAACAAGCACAAAATACAGAAGTTGAAACACCTTAAGAATTTCTAGATGTAGACTACATGTCAGAGAGGACAAGCTGATCCAGATGGGAAAGAACACAGCACATGTGCACATCAAAAGAATACATAGGCAGATGGTGGCTACAGGCTTGCACTAGAAGACAGGGTGATGTGTTAGTGTGGAATAGATTACAGGGGGAAAGTTTATTGTGGGTAACCAGGGCATAAATGTTCCCCTCATTCACATCCCTTACTTGTTAAGCCTCAGGGAATATCACTGGAGAGTGGGTGGAAAGATTGTAAGAACTTGGAAGAGCGCTACAAAATAAAGTCTTCTGGACATGACAGGACCGGTGATTTCATGGACTCATGATAGCTGTGCTTACCAGCAGAAAACCTGCATGAGATCAATCCAGTCAACACTCACTCTAGCAAAAGAGGGAAGGGGCTCATGAAGTTCCACAACTAGCCAAGGAGCTATTGGCTTTAAGAGATAGGCATTACTATAAAGAGATATGCATAGCACAGTTTTACACGGACCCATGGGATACATGACTTTGAACCAAATGTCCACTGGTCTTAGGATCCCATCTAGACTTGGTCTTGCTCATCTAGGATAGTGTGTGCCTGCTTCCAACGACTACTGTTGGAAGCAAAGTCAGTTCTCTTCAGCAGTGTTGCCTGTAATAGGTTGGTCATTCTCCAGGACCTGATGTTCTACATGCCCATACACACAGAAGGCACTAAAGGGGCTCAGTGTGTTGATGAGAAGCAGGACAGTGATGTTGCTAATGAAGAAGATGAGGAGGATGAGGGGGAGAAATAATGAATTTGAGAGGAAGACGTTGGGAAGCTGAAGAGTTAGGGTGGGGTTTGGGTGGGAGTAACAATGTTTAAAAGGACCATCTTCCTACATATTCCCACCCTGTGTGCTACAGGGATAAACATATCTATTTTAAAGAAATTTAATTCAATCTGCAACTGCCTGCCCTCTTCCTAAAGCCATTATGTATTATCCCTAAAGCAAAACATGTTTTGTCTATTCCAAAATTATCCAAAGTCTCTCTCCATATTGAAATTTAAACTATCACCCACTTTAAAATCAATGTATTCTCTAGATATTTCTGTTTTGTTTTCTGTGTTCTATTTGCTAGGTGCACCTAATAGAGAGCCCAAACTTATTAGCTACTAGCTATGAGTGCTGTGTAAATATAGAGATGGCTACAGTCACAGAGTCACAGCATAGTGGCTCTGACCTCTGGGCATGAGGCCCTGTTCTCATGATGTCACAGGCAGGCCACCTGCCATTTACTCACAGCCAGAATCACTCTCCTCTCTCCACAAAGATCAAACATGTCCTTGATTAAGAACCTGTCAGTGATGTTTGTCTGCGGGATAACAGAAGTGTCCTGGCCTCTGTGTATTTCATCCAAGATGCTGTATTGAGGTTTGGAATTAATATACTAACATTAAACCCATGTAGACCACTGAGATTTAATTTTAAATAAAATAAAGACAGATTTCTTTGAAGATAAGTGTGTTCCTGTAGCACATGTGAAAACCAAACTCCTCATCCACCAGGCTGTGATGTTCTTACTTTTGAATAATTATTTATCCCCTGGAGCCTCATTAAATATTCAAAGGAAGTTGTATGTGCATCAGGATTTGCACTTGAAGACACCCTCTCTAACCATTATAGCTGGTCCTCTGGTGTGTGTCTCCATGGATGGCATTGTTCAGCACACTCTCCTTGTATAAGATGGAGATACTTCATGTTTCATACTTGAGGACATTGAACCCAAAGGGATATAGACCATGAACAGGATAGTTGAACCAAGTGAAAGGATGTGCTTCTGTGGACTAGCAGGACTGGAGACACCAGTAGATCAGGAATTTACCATGGTCTATTGGAATGTATGTCATCTGACATTTCCTAGGTTGCCAGTTTGAAGTCCCACTAGGAAGAGTAGGATGAGGGTCAAGAGGAGATTTAGAGTATGTGGTTAATACAGTGACTGGCAGAATTCCCGTGCTTTCTACTGAATAATAGGTCTCCAGTCAGAGTTTAGGGAAGTGTTTATGAATACTCTGCACAAGCATGACACAAGAATGTCATTTCCTTTCATTGTCGAACTGCTTTTTTTTTTGTTTGTCTTATAGTTAGAATCCATCAGTATCAGTAGAGAAGTCAAGGCACAAACTCAAGATGGCAATCTGGAGGCAGGACTGAAGCAGAGACCATGGAGGAAAAGGCTGCTTACTGGTTTTTTCCCCAGGGAATGCTTTTTCAGCTTGCTTTTTTATAAAATACAGGCCTGCCTACTGAAAGATACTGCTATTCACAATGGGTTGGCTCCTCTTCCACGATTAGGGAAATGTCTACAGATATGCCCCCAGGCCATCTGATGGAGACAGTTCTTCAATTGAGATTCTCAGCTCCCTGGTTCTCAACTGGTGGGTTACAACCCCTTTGGGGTGGGGGGGCTAATGAGTGCTGGCATATCAGGTATCCTGCATATCAGACATTTGCATTATAATTCATAAAACTAGCAAAATTACAGTTATGAAGTAGCAGCAAAACTACTACTTGCTAGGTTCTGTTTGCTAGGTACTTGCTAGGTGACTTGGGAGGGTCACCACAACGTGAAGAACTGTATTAAAGGGTCACAACATTGGAAAGGTTGAGAACCACTGCTCTAGATTGTGTTAAGTTGGCAAAAACTTACTAACATAGTTTTCACTCAGAAGTTCAACAGGTCCTCCAGGAATATTGCTGCATTTGGATACCAAATTCATCTGCAAAGTTCTTTATTTTTTATATAAATTTTATTTAGATTAGAAAAAAATCTTATTTTACATATGAATTCCAGTTTCCCTCCCATCTTCTCATGCCCCCCACCAACCCCCATCCCATCCCCTATCCACTCCCCAGGGAGGGTAAGACCTTCTGTGAAGGATCATCAAAGTCAGTCAAGTCATTTGAAGCAGGGCCTAGGCCCTTCCCCCGTGTAACCAGGCTAAGACAGTATCCCTCTGTAGGGAATGGGCTTCCAAAGTTCGTTCCTGCACTAGGGATAAATACTGGTTCCACTGCCAAAGGACCCACAGATTGCCCAGGTCCCTCAACTGACACCCATGATCATGGGGTCTGGGTTAGTCCTATGCTGGTTCCCCAGCTGTCAGACAGGGGTCTGTGAGCTCCCACTTGCCCAGGTCAGCTGTTTCTGTTGATTTCCCCGGCATGGTCCTGACCCCTTTGCTCATCACTCCTCCCTCTCTATAACTGGATTCCAGGTGTTTGGCTGAGTGCTTAGTGGTTGATCTCTGCTTCTGCTTCCATCAGCTACAGAATGAATGCTCTAGGATGGCATTTAAGGTAGTCATCAATCTCATTAGGGGAAGGGCATTTAAGGTAGCCTCTCCACTATTGCTTAGATTCTTAGTTGGTGTCATCCTTGTGGATCTCTGGACATTCCCCTAGTGATAGATTTCTCTTTAAACCTATAATCCCTAAACCCTCTATTAAGCTATCTCTTTTCTTGCTCTTCTCTATTCATCCCCTGACTCAATTTCCCTGATCCCTCATTCTTTCCTCCCTCCTCCTCTTCTCCCCTCCTCTTTCTCCTACCTCTTTTCCCCTTCCCCCCATGCTCCCAATTTGTTCAGAAACTCAAAGGCAATTGTGGAACTGTTAATTCCAGGAATCCCACCCGGCCCATATATGGTAGAATCAAGACATTTCAAGAGTCAAAACTTAATTATGCAGAATGTTGTCTTTTTATTGGAAAGAAAGTATTTTAATGAATGTTAGGTTTAGGAATCTCCAAACACAAGTATGAGAAGTAAGTGAAATCCATTTATGGGAGTTTCTGTCCTGAAGACATCACAGGCTTCATTCAAACAAGGCGGCTCCTACAGGAAGACAGTAAAAACATTGAAGCATGACAGTGGGGGATGGAGGATAAAAGAGTCACCCATGTTTCTGTAGTTCTTATTATTGTCATTCACTGATGCTTTTCAACTCTAGTATGTCACAAATGGGAACTCCTCTTTTTTATACATCTCTTTATTTTATTGAGAGGGAAATGGAAGCTAATTCTTGGACCCATGGTCTTTGAGAGAGATGAATGCATCCTAACAGGGTGTGTTGACATGGGAAGAGTATAATACTGTAACACTTTGTTCCATGATAAGCACAAAATGAACTCATGCCCAACAAAATTCTAAGAATTAACAAGCTTGTATTACAACCTGATAAATACACTTGTACATGTATTCAAATTTGTTTACTCTTTGGCTTTTACAAAAGATCTATATCAAAAACATACTAAAAGAAGGAATTCAGGACACAGTCCCAGCTCAGGTATCTTTCTCTGCTCTGCCAGGTATTTCCCTCACCTTTCTAAAGCTCACACTCCATAACTCTCCTGGTGCTCACAGTGGGGAACCAGACTCATAATCGCCCAGGAAGTACTCATGCACATCTGAACTCTGGGGTAGGTGTCTCCCTCACCTAGCAATAACCTTACCTTCATATTGGTCCAGGTCTTCAGCAGGTCCATAGCCATATCAATTGCCTACTTCTTGTGCAAACCGTTGCCTTTGCTTTTTCCCTGTATAAGACCGCTCTAGCTCCCCTGCAGATAAACTTGTCTTGTCACGGGGACCCCCATCACCAGTTTGTTTATACTTCTTTTCCTCATAGGATTCTTCATTCGTGTTGCCTTGGGGACTTCTTGGTTTAAAGGAACTCCATGAATTCTCGCTCCGGCTGTATTCGGGACTTCTTGGTTTAAAGGAACTCCATGAGTTCTCTCTTGGTTTAAAGGAACTCCATGAGTTCTCGCTTGGTTTAAAGGAACTCCATGAGTTCTCGCTTGGTTTAAAGGAACTCCATGAGTTCTCGCTTGGTTTAAAGGAACTCCATGAGTTCTCGCTTGGTTTAAAGGAACTCCATGAGTTCTCGCTCCGGCCGCCCCCTGCTGTGGTCAATTCAGAGGTTTCACCAGAATACTGGTCTTCAGATGTTTGTGAAAATCTGTCTGTGAAGAGAAAAGTATGCCTAATTCTCTGTCCATCTTTCTGTGTGTTCTGAATTAGTTGGGCGTCAGAACACTGTCAAGAGCCCATCCTTCAGCTCTGGCTATGGACCTGTGTTCAGATGTACCTTGTTGCTGTTTTGCTGCCTACAAAGCCATTGACCATTAGTCCAGTTAGAAGTTGGAGTGATCTACTTGTCAAATGGCCTTTTCAACTCCCCTCACAATTGACAACGAGGATGTTTGCGATACCCACTGTCCCACATTCCCCTGCAGCCCTCCTTACTGATGTTTTGCCCACCCCGTTACTGATATTCACATAAAACTTATGTGAATATCAGTTTCCACCAGGGACAGAAGCCCTGGGAACAGAGCCTTTTGTAGACTCCAGGTGGACCCCTTTGAGAACATTTTCCTCAAATACCTTTCCCACAGAACAAACTTGCCACTCACCACGGGGTCTCCCTGCAGCTGGTTCTGTCACCAGAACCAGGAGCAATGTAAGGAGGAAGAAGCTGGTAGGATTCATCTTGCCTGGAAGGACCTTGGCTGAGAACTGAGCTGAGCTTCTCCTTTATATATTTCCTGACTGGCTTTGCCTGCAGGTATGGAAGGCAGTGACCTTTCTTATCTGTAAATGTCAGCTTCATTGTCTCTGCTCAGTAGGGTTCTTGGTACTGCTCCCTTGAACTCTGTAAGGACACAACATCAGAGCATGCCCAGAAAACCTCCCTTGTACTTTGAGAACACTGCACAGCGATTTCTGTACTTGCAGAACCTAATTCAGTTCAGAGTGGGGAAGAGACTTGAGGCTGCAAGGGTCTTCAGGACTTGATCATGACTCCATTCTCCAGCATGGAGTGCCCCCTAAGACTCCATCACTTAAATCAATCACAGACCCAGCTCCGCACTTGTATTTTCATAGCATTCTTCATCCACAGTGTTTTTATTTGACAATGAGTGAACACAGAGGTAGAAGGAAACAGGAAGAAATGGTACTAAGAAGGATCCAAAGACACGAAGTTTGAACAGTCCATAGATGATCTATCTCATTGACAGAGTCCTTACCTAGCAATAGGGAGGTCCTCAGTTTAGTCCTGAACACAGCAGAACGAACACATGAAAAATGAATACAAGACACATCAGCATTGATAGTTACCATGAAGTTTATAATCATAATTATTGACACATGCCCAATACTCTTCAACACTTTATATTGGGTCATTACCCAAACTGTTGCTTTGTTGTATGTTCAGAGAGAGAGAGAGAGAGAGAGAGAGAGAGAGAGAGAGAGAGAGAGAGAGAGAGAGAGAGAGAATGTCTTCATTTTGTAAGTTCTGTTCATTTAGAGAACCATGAATAAAACAAGGAGGAGAATTCAAAGTCAATGACATAGACCAGATCTTCAACAAGATCGTAGAAGAAAACTTCCCCAAACTAAAGAAAGACATACCCATACAGATACAAGAATCACATAGAGCATCAAATGGAAAAAAAACAAATAACAGAATTTCCATTGTATATTGTAGTTAAAACACTAAGTAGAAATAACAGAGAAAGTGTATTGAAAACTGTGAGAGAAAAACTGTAAGTCACGATATAAAGGAAAACTCATCAGAGTAACAGATGACTTCTCAATGGAAACTTTGAAAGTCAGAAGATCCTGAAGAAATGCATTCCAAATCCTAAACACCTATGATGGCCAACCTAGGCTAATTATACCCAGCAAAACTATTTGCTATAATTAAAAGAGGAAAAACTTCCCATGATATGAACAGCCTAAAAAGTTATATTCAACAAACCAAATCTAAAGAAAATACAGGCAGTATTATTTTGGGCTGAAGAGAGGAATGAGCATAGCAGAGAGACTATGGAAAGAAACACAATGGAACACTGAAAACACAAACAACACCACCAAAAATCAACAACACAATGACCACAATTAACATACACATAACTTTAAATATAAGTCAGGCACACACCTTTAAACCCAGTACTTGGGAGGCAGAGACAGGAAGATCTCTGTGAGTTCGAGGCCAACGTGATCTACAAAGCTAGTTCCAGGACAGCTAGGGCTGTTATACAGAGAAACCCTGTCTTGAAAAAACAACAAAAAAAGAAACTATTTTTCTAAGTCATGAACAAGACAAGGATTTCATTACTCCTACTCCTGTTCAATATTGTGTTTGAAGCATTACCTGGAGTAAAAAGGCAAGAGAAAGAATTTGAAGGAATACAAATAAGGAAAGCACCCAAACCATCCCTATTTGCAAATGACATACTGTATATTATAGATCCCAAAATTCTCCAATAGAATTTCCAGAAATGATAAATAAATTCAGCAGTGTGGCAGGATACTGAATCGAATTGCCCAAATAAATACACTAACAATAATCATACAGAGAAAGAGCTCCTGGACACACTCCCACTTACAATAACATCAAAGAAAATAAAATATCTAGGAGTAAAACTAACCAAGGAAGCAAAGACATCTCTCTCTGAGACTCAGCTAGAGTATGTCAAGCTTTCTGTGATTTTAATTGGCATCTCAGCAATTTATAACTCACTTCTGATACTGTGTGATGTTGGTGAGGAAGTCAAAAGTCAGGGCAGAGTTATGCACTTAGTCTAAGTGTCACAATTAGGCTCACATAAATGCCATTTGAGTTTCTCACACTGACTTGAAGTATACAGATGACACTCATCATCCAGTAGCAATAGGATACAAATATTTACTTCCTCTCTACCTTTCATTCCTGGATTCCAAAAGGAGCACGCAACAAGACCTGGACTATTGTCTGCACTAGGAACCACTCTGCTCACTTCTGGCTCCATGGATATCCACCTGAGTAACTGCTGTGGCCCTTGCAGACACCATATCTATCTTCTGTGAAGACCTTTATGCTAAGCCTATTCAGGGTAAATATCTAGTAGAATTAGGAGGTAAAACCAGGCACTCAGGGTTCACAAGCTCTTGATATAGCTCCTACTTCATCACACAACTTTTCACCTAATTTAGAAGATGAAGTTCAACTTGATTATAACAGAAATCATGTCACCACATGAAAGATAGGGAAATGAAGCCCCAGAAGGTGGCTGAAGGACTTTTCTAATCACAGTGTTCTCTGTGGCACTGGGGAGTCTAGAACTATTCTGTACCACTAACTTCTAAACTATGTCACATTTAATGACAGAGGCTTGCCTAAAGTCACTCTTCTGCTTGTGGACATCTGGTTTTCCCAGGGTCATGTGTTGAAGATGCTTTCTTTTCTCCAGCCTACATTATGGCATCTGTGTCAAATATTAAGTGGCTGAAGTTATGTGTACTCATATTTGGGTCCTCAATTTTATTCCGTTAGTCTCTATTTCTAGCTTTTGTACCAGTACTCTATTATTTTTATTGCTATGGCTCTGTAATATAGTTTAAGATCTGGAATTGTAATTTTTCTAGCATTGTGTTTTTGGTTCAGATTGTTTTGACTATCTGAGGTCTTTGTGGTTTCATGTTAATTTTAGGATAGTTTGTCATTTGTAGAAATTTATGGTAGAACTTTCGGGATCTCTAATGTATAGTATTATGTGTTCTGCAAATAGGGGTAGTTTGTATCCCTTTGATTTCTGTATCTTGCATTATTTCCCAGCTAGTATTTTCAACACAATATTTTAGTTTGCCAAACACTTGATAATTTTGGCTTTCAATCTTTCTCAAGTTCCCTTTGTTCATTGTTTCAGGATGACTTCTTCCTTCCAGTACAAAGACACCATGTCTATGACTGTTCTCCACCAGATACCTATTTCCTTTTTACGTCATGGGTCTCATCTTTATCAGTACATTAATTTTCTATGTTGAGATATGTTGTTAGCTTTTCTTGTACCGCCAGAACATCCCCCATAAGAGATGCTTTTTCCAAATTACCATGAATTCGTCTCCTAAAATGTCATGCTGTTAGTTTTGCACTTCTGATTTTTGTTTGTTATAGTTTGCTTTCTTTTTCCAATCTTAATCTCTTTTCTGCTATCTACGTCTTTGATTCAGAGGATTGGACAAGGACTTTGTTCTTTGAACCATACATGAGATAAGCATTATCCTATCTTTTTATTATTAATCTCAGTAAGAAATAGTTCTTGGCATGTAGAAAGTACTGATGTCACAAGGCAGTGTGATCAATGTTAGTTACACACTCTCTCAACCTAATCTCCAAAGCCGGCTTGAGGGAAATGGAAAAGGATTAGACAAACTCCTAGGGATACCACGTAACTCTACTATCTCAGATTTGATGACTTGGTATTCTTATCTATGTTCTCTCTTCAGCACAGAGCAAGAGAATGGATCTCATTGTGACATTTCCTTACATGTATTTCACATCCTCGGGTCATACTCAGTCTCCATTACCTTTTCTTGTTCTCTCACACCTCTTACTGATTGCCTTCCTTCTCCCTACTGTCCCTGTTTTAGATATACACATACTCACATGCACACAAACACATGCATGTGCACATATATGCACACACAAAAATTTCTCATAGAAGAGAAAGCATATATCTATCTTTTTAAGTCTGGCTTATTTCATTTAGCAGTGATATCTAATTCAATTCTCTCTCTTTCTGTATGTCTCTCTCTTATTAGAAATGACATAATTTATTCTCTTTATGATTGACTGAAACTACATTATGTACTAGCCAATCATTTGTTGGTAGACATCTGGGTCAATTCCACATTTTTGCTATTGTGAATAGAGATGCAACACCAATGTTCATGTGTCTCTGTGGTAGGAATCTTGCCTGCATTTGTGGGCAATGCTGTCCCCAGAAGATATAGGTTACTAAATGAAAATCTCCGTGCTAGGCATGGAATTCCTTATTATGAATTATTGGTGGTAGTAGTATTTGTTTTTCTCCTATGTTCATGGCCAATGTAGTATCAGATTCTTAGCCACCTGAGCAGCATTGGGGATGGGTTACATCTCATGGAGTAGGCCTTAAATCCAATCAGTGAATTATTACTCCTACAACTCTTGTGCCACTATTGTAGAGCATATGATGCCAGCAGGTCACCATTGTAGATTGAAGGGTTTGTAGCTCTTTCAGTATTCACCTTTCTCCTCTGGTAGCAAGCACAGTACTTTCTAGTACCATGAACCCTAGTAGTGTGGTTGAAGGCTTTAGGTAAGCAGCAGCTTGACCTCTCTCCATGTTCAGTGAGATATGTAGGTGTTGTCTTTAGCAATCGGGCCTTACCATCTATTTGCAGAGAGCAATCAATAGACTTGGCAATAACCTGGGTTGTTTGGGAGGGTTCCATGGGGCCCCTTCAACCAACAACTCAATTATATTCAGCCCATTTCCATTACTGGAGGTTTCACTTCGTGGTGAGCGGTGCCTAGTTAGGGCTTTGCCTCTCCTATTATTTGGTGGTTCCATTTATATTTCTTTCATATATGTGTGTATTTTAAGACGTCTCTGTTGTATTAGGTTTCCGTATGAACCCTCAGATGACATTAGTTTTACCTGGCCTTCCCTGTGTTTCTTCCCTTACCCTTCTTTCCCCTCCCCTTCACCATTTTGTCTTCCC